TATTTAAGTTGCACTTTTAAATAAACTTTTACACTTTTCCATAAAGTATTTATTTAAGTTACACTTTCCCATAAAGTATTTATTTAAATAGCACTTTCCCATAAACTAACATTTTCCCATAAAATATTAATTTAAGTTATCCATATTTGATTTTGTAAGACCATACCCGAAACCATATCCAATTAGATGGGCGGGAAAATCGTATTGTATATTACAAAGTACTCCCTCCGTCCCATTTTAAATTGTCTGTTTGCTTTTTTTCTCCGTCCCAAAATAAGTTGCATGTTAGTTGTTTTCGTAAACTTTTAAAAACAAAATACCTAAACTATCCCTAAAATAAGTCAATCTTCTTTACCTTGTCTTCTCATTCATCATCACCCCTTCTAAAAAGTAATGACAGTGTCAGAAAATCAACTCTATTTTTTATTTTCCTTAAATATGGCCAAAAATCAAAACAGACAATTTAAATTAGGACAGAGGGAGTAAAAGATTATTAAAATAGGTTTTCAAATACCCTACAAATAAAGATTTTAGGATTTCAAAAATCTAAAAAAACAATATCTACTGATAAATTTCAAGGTTGCTTTATATACATACAAATTTTATAATTTTGTAAATCAAAACACTCAAAAATTGAAAAAAGTAAAAAAAAAAAAATTAAATAAAAAACCTTGAGTCATCTTCTCCCGGCTAGATGCACTATTTGTGGTTCTTTTTCTTCCTCCACTCACTACCTTGGACAAAATATAAATGATCTAAAAATGCATTAAATTACTCCTTTATATAACTTTTTTTGTTTTATAAAACTTGTGACTTAATCAAATATACACCCTATAATCTTTATTAAAAATAATTTTAATCCCGCACATTATAAATCAAAACCATCCTTAATCAAGCCCTTAAGGCTGATATCATTAGGCAATCTCAAATCAGGCTATGATTAATGGCATACAACTCATGATTAAAGCAACTAATGACAATTCAAAAAAAATTTTGCATAATTAGTTTAAAACCAAACATGGTAGTATACTTCTTCTTTGCTTTGAAACAACCTTTTTATTAACGGCATGGGCAGATTTAGATGTTCCAGCCCCTTCTTAATCTCCTACTCCTCCTCCGGAAAAAGAACCCCATCAATCCCCTGAAAGCAAATCTTCTAGTGAGTATATATGCACTGGTATGAGTATATATGCACTGGTATCCTGTATGGGTGAGGGTAGTCACCTAGCCTTCATTTTTTATTAGTGATATTCATTCTAGAAATTCAAGATCAATGGGAATAAGTCCAAATTATAGAAGTCTAAATAATGTAAACCAAGGGTCCAAGATGTTATTGTTGTTCATAGAAAATGAGAACCTCATCAATCAACATATGAGTCTGATATTTTTTCAGCATTATTGAAACATAAATAAAATAAATTCATCCATTTATGAGAAGAAGCCTTGATAATCTAAATATATGAAAGTGACAAAAGGGAAAAGTTTATATACCTTATTTATCATCCATATTTGGATCTTTATAAATCACTGAAGATTTCAAAATCAATCAAATGCAACCTGGCCTCATCCTCAGCCAGTTCCGATTGAATTTAATTTTTAGATGTCCGAAGATGAATGAAGCTGAAGCTGAAGTTGAATCATCATCAGCCCTTCTTCCAAAGTAATTCATGAACATATATTGAGCAAGCTCAAAGATTTTAGATATTGGCTAGCACATCTGCGACCCTTGCAAAGAAGCAACAGAATACATAGGAATGAAGTAAATTCTTTAAACAAAAGATCTACAAATCTCTGAAGCGAGTAATGGTGTCCCTCATGATAAAGAATATATTTTAAAATTAGACCCATGATGCTTAGAAGAGGCTGGTATTTGACGAATCACCTGCATCACAATTAGAACAAAATATTTTTTTCATGTTGTCAATTGGACAGAAACTATGTGACCCATGATTTTTTTATTATGTGCCTTTCAAGGACCTTTCTAAAGAAAGGTTGTGTTCATCAATATTTGATAAGGAACTCAAATACTCCATACCTAACAACAACAAAAGCTCACAAAGTACAGTAATCATTTTATTTATGATATTAGAATCCAAAAAACTAAAAAAGTGAACTATTATTTCAAGAAACAGAATGATATTTAACTATAAATAATACCATGAAACT